TAGTCACATGGATAAAAACTGGGACTGGGTTAGATTAGACGAGTCCTTTTCTTGTGCACGAGTTTTTGTATGAAGCCATTTGTGTCCCCGGACGAGTTGTTTTCTTGTTTTGGTCCTGAGAGGCATGCTACCAGTTTGAGGATCTACTCTTCTTGCTACCATTTCTGGTAATGTGGTTGTTTCAATGATAATCCTATCCTGATTTGGATCACAACCTGATCACAATCTAGATATAGACCGGATGCTATATTTAGAAACATCAGTTAGTTTACGGTAAAGTAATTGGTTAATGTAAAATACATTAGTTTTGAAATATAAATAAACTTTTATTGATTATATTCACATGTCTCATTATATTATTTGTGATATAGTAAAGTAAGTTTTAAAAAAATATTCTTTTTAATTAAGTATATTCAACTTTTAGGAAATAATTATAATACTGAAAATGAGTAATAGATAAGTAAATAAATTCAACTCACATCTTTCATTAGGTTTTTCCAGTAATAAAAAGGTTTTCTTAAACAAAAGCTGAGGTTTTCAAGCTTCTATTTCAATTAGGTAAAGTTTTTGAAAAGATTTCTTTATCCTGATTAACAAACTCTTTTATAATATGGTACTGGCTCCAGTAGTATTAAATAAATCTATATATCAGCAGAAGAATAAGTTCTTTAGATATTTTTTTGAGTCACTTTTAGGAATGATTAAGTTTCTCAAATATTATAAGCTTAGAGGATATCCCAATCAGGCAAACCCCTTTTGAGAGAAAACTATGAAATGAAATAAGAATCTTTTGAAAGCTTTGAATTGTGTTTTTTTTTTTTCTTTTTTCAATATCATACTTTAGAAATTCATTATTTTTCAGGATAATCAATAATGACAAACTGTTGGTAATAGCCCTGATTGACTTAGAGATACTATATCAAGTTACTAGAAGAGTGTAATATTATCTCTTAAATTTGACTTAGAGTATCTAGTTTATACTTAGTTTTGTTTAGTCGGAACTAGCTTAGTAAACTTATCATATTTTTAAGTAGTATAGTCTTTTAACTAATAATATATAAAAATAAGTTAGTTACTTTGTGAAAAGTTTGTAAAATATTTTGATATCTTTTAATATCTCAATAAAACATGTTAAAGCAACATTTTTTTAAGTTAAAAAAAAAAAACAAATTTAATACAAATATTAATAATAAAACAAAAAAATTTTTATAATTATAATAATAAATTAATAAAAAATTTATATAGTTAATTTTAAAATTTCAATTAAAATAGTATTAAAATATAATTTTTTTTAAACACTGGCTCAGCCTTGTTTTATTTGTATATTTGTAGCAAAATTACATAGAAAGACTATTCTAGAACTTACTACCTGTTTTTTACCAAATAAAACTCAATAAAGAATTCTCCTTATGGAAGTACTTACCTTGCGACTTGTTGCCACCCCTTGTAAGGGGGCTAACCTACTAAGGCTGGATTAGTGCTGAAATGAATTTCAAAAATAAAAGAGTTATCTATAATGTTTATAAGATACTAATCCATAAAGTCATTGATCAGATTGATTTATTGATCTTTTATATGTTGTTACAGGCCAAAGAAGTTAAACAAAGTTCAGAATTTTTGCTATAGTCACGTAACTGACTATAATGATATGATCAAAACTTATGTGAAATAATCAATTGCTGACTATCACCATACCCCTTGCAAGATAGAAGAATGCGCGAACAATTCATTTGTATTAAAAAGGTAAAAAACCATGAGCTGAGATAATAGAAAATTAGCTGATCATGAAACAATTTATATATGACATAATACTAGAATAGCTATAGTAATTATGTAATAGCCCTATATGTAAAAATGTATAAATGTAACTTCCTTCAATGACTTAATAAAATGCTGAATCTTAAGATAAATCTTTTAGAGAAATTGTTATAATAGTGAAGTTATAAGTAGTTTTAGGGAAAACTACCTTGAGACTCACACAAATCTTTTTATGTTTCTGCCTTGATTTTGGTATTGTGTTTTATGTATAATATAAGGACTGACTCTTTTATTTGCAAGTTATGTGAGCCTTTGGTTATTAGCAACAGCTCATCGATTAGCCTGCTACATTGTATAGATGATTATAACTGTCTGCCACATTTGTTGGGTTGATATTGTGATATTGCTTATCACTTTATATTTAGTAAAGGATTGTTACACTTTTATGAGTTTGGTGTCCAAGAATTATCATATACTCTGATACTGTTTTCCTATTTTAGGATTAGGTTTATATATTCTATGAGATCCATATGTTTATTGTCCATATTGGATAATGGAATGTCACAATTCTCAATTGTTTCTTGTTTATTACTCAAAATAGCAATGATGTATTCTATATCTTTTTTTTTTACTTTGAATTATCATCAATCCATTTGATAAGTTTAGGACCTTAATAAGAAAAGTTATCTTTTGAGCTGTAGTTTTGCCTAGCAAGTTTATGGCTAGAATACTGATCTTGGCTCTCTTTTTGCTATAGCGGATAGTTTTGTTGAAAGGAGAGAGGGATTTTAGTTTAGTGGTCAACTGTCTAACTTCTGTTTGCCCTTATTGCCAATTTGTTGCCAATATGAAATTGAGACTTGGTTTTCTTCTTCTATCTTCATCTCTATATCTGAGTCATCTATACATACTACTCTTTGTATCTTATTGGTTGATTCTTGGATGGCTTCTTCTGGCATCTTCATGTTGGTTATTGTTGGGATATTGTTTGATTGATTCATTGTTGAATTTTTGATAATTAAATTGTTTTCTTTAACTTCTTTACTCTAGTTAGTTATCTGAACAGTTGCTATTGATAAATTAAATTTATGGTCTATGTTATCAGGTTTTGGAACAGGTTTTAAGTGCTGGAGTCTTCTCTATGAATTTCATTTTGATCATTTTCTTTGGCTTTTCCTTTATTTATAATGTTTTTCTTTACTACTTGTATTGTTGTTTCTTTGTATGACTTGTTTATATTACCTTATGCAAGGATATTCTCATTTTAATTGATCTCTACTGGGCTGTTTTGCTGCGAAGTTCTCTTTAAGAGAACATCTCTCCATTCACATTTTCTTTTTCTTTAAAAATTACCATAAAAAGAAATTTTTTAGAAAAAATAGATCTGCAGAAAAGGTTTTTTTTTCATTAAAATATAATTAATATTTAAGAAATTAATAAATTTTAATAAATTTTATAAATTAATAAAATTATTTAATTAAAATATTTGTTTTCCTTTTTTTTTTTCTTATTCTTCTCTTTAACTTATTTTTTTTATAGATTTTGACTTGAGTTCTTTCAACTGGCTTTAATTGTTTTTATTTTATTAAATTTTGTTAAATTTTTATATTTTTTTAATTTTTTCAAAAATTTTATTTATTTATATACTTTTCTTAGTTTTATATTTTTTATTTATTAAATATATGAGTAATTATTTTTAAAGAATTAAAAATCTTAAAATTTCCAGTGACTGTTCTTTAAATATATGATTTTTGATGTTCTTTTTTATACTCCTTTTTTAAATATTTTTTTAAAATATTTATATATTAAAATCTATAAAAATACAGCTGTTATCATATAATAAATACAAATAATTGAATTAGTAAATTTAAATTTTCTATAATAATAAATTTTAAATTAAAATAAAAATTTAGACTAAAACCAATTTAGCCATTATACGATAATCTAATGCGCCTTTTATATAGCGGCTCATTATTAGACAGACAACACTTTATATTTAAGTTATGAGGATTTATATTATAACTGAAATAATTTTCGTTACCAAGTTTAATCAATTTTCATAATTAAATTCTTAACGATATTAACGTTGATATAAAACTTAACTGTAGTTTTAAAAAGAAATTTATGATATTTTATTTATTTAAAGTATTTAAAGTTTAAAATTTCTATAATGCGGTTAAAAATACAGTGACGTAACATCATACATTTTGTACTACTTTTATACGCCTTGCTATAGCACACTTACATAGTTTATTTTCTCACTCTAAGATGACCATTAATCTTTTTGAAAAGCTATCACAAAACTTTACCGATATTTTTAATGACACTGAATATCATGATATAACAATTGAAGCTGGTACCAATCAAGATAAAAAGTCTTTTACGGCTCACTCCGTTATTTTACATTATCGTTCATCATACTTTCGTGCAGAATTATCCAAACATAAAAATGATCGCGGGGCTAAAATAATCTTCCTACCAAATATTTCACCACAAATTTTTGAAATTATTCTCCGGTATTTTTTATTTGGTAAATTTTCAAACTATTAATATGCAGTAATTAACATACTTTATATTTATTTAGATATATTTATAGTGGAACTATTATTCTTGAAAATAGTGAAACTCAATTAATTTTCGATACAATGATTGCTTCAAAAAATCTTAAACTTAAAGAGCTATCAGGTGAACTAGAAACATATCTCATCGAAAATAGGGCTGCATGGCTACGCACACATTTTTTATTTGTTTATCATATTTTATTCGAGAATAATTCTTTTAGAAGATTAGTGAAATTTTGTGATGATATAATTGTAAAGTACCCGACTCTTATTTTTGATAGGGAGGACTTTAATACTCTTCAAGAATCATCTTTAATTTCTATTATTGCGCAAGATAATCTTCAAATGGAGGAGATTCGAATCTGGGAAAAAGTAATCCATTGGGGAATTGCAAAGAATAATACATTGCCTTCGAATATTAAGGAATGGTCTAACGAAAATTATGCATCTTTAAAAGATACTTTACAATTCTGTTTGCCACATATTCGCTATTTTCAACTAGGCACTGCAGATTTGTGGGAAAAAGTGAGACCGTACAAAAAAATTCTTGGTGAAAGCCTTTGGGAGGACATAATTCAATATAATTTATTTCCTGACAAGCCTGTTAGTTCACGAGTTTTACCTGCAAGGTCTGTTATTATCCAAAAACTTCCGGAAAGAATGAAAGAACCTTTTTCTTATATGATCAATGAAGAACATGTTGCAGAAATTTCATCTTGGATTAATCGAAAAGAAACCACTTATTCGGAAATAGACATTCCATATAAGTTTAAGTTAATTTTAAGAGGAAGTCGTGATGGATTTAATCCTCAAACTTTTTGGAATTTGTGCCACGGAATGCAAAGAACTGTAACGGTTCTAAGAGTCGCAGGAACAGATGAAATTCTCGGAGGATATAATCCTTTAATTTGGGATAAAACAACTGATGGAATTTGGATGAAGTCGAATGATTGTTTTATCTTCTCATTAAAGAACTATAAAATGAGAAATTCAATTCTCAGTCGAGTGAAGGTCAATAACAACGCAATTTATAATCCAATCTGGAGTGTTCAAGACAAGTATGGTCCAAAGTTCGGAGACCTGTTTTTATATACTAAGGTATCTAATCTTTCCAATGATGCAATAAGTTGGTGTAGAATTAATCATTATAATTTTGAAAAAACAATTAGAACAGGAGTTATGAATAGTTATTTTTCTATCGTAGAATATGAAGTTTTTCAAATTATTTAAGTTCTTATATGACCTGCTATGAATACATTTTCTTGATAAAATAAGATAAATGAATAACTCGTAGATTTTGTTCAAATAATATTGATAACATATAAGAGTGTATTCTCAGTATAAAAACTGAATATAATATACGTAGACAAAATTATTTTGATTTTTTATGACTTACGTTTGCTTTTAAAGATGATATCAGAAATATCAAGAGATGAGTTATAAATAGGCAAATAATGAAATTATGATCAGCTTATTTCTAATAGATTGCATGGCGAAAATAATTTATAACAAATTTATCACAAAATTACGAATTAAATCAAAGAATTCTAATATTTATCATTATTTTATTTATAATTATATTAGTTATTTATATAATTATTGAATTTATAATCTTATTCTTTTTATTGATTACAAAAGGTATTACTTGATGTTTTAACTATATATTTTAACATTAAAAATATGTTAGTTATTATTGGTTAATTAGTGTTATTTATATGAGTATTATTTAAAAAATGGATTAAAAAATAGAATCCCAAATAAAATTTTAACTAAATATTAATTTATATATTATAATTTTCAGATTGATTTATTGATTTTCTATTCGATTTTTTTAGGATTCCATGTAAACCTTTATATAAACTATGGACTATACAAAAACAAAATAGACTCAAATGTATCAGAGGGTGACCTTTAGAAATTTGTACAGGTCATAAATTAATAGATAGTATAAAAGCTAACTTTTTGTATAGATTAAAAGAAATTCTCAGAAAAAAAAACGCAACAAACCAATTAATGAAAATAATATAAAATATAAAAAAGTCGATTCTATATTATTATCTGATCAATTAGTTAAAGAAATAGATAGGATATGCATGCATAGACATTAAGAAAAATTTTAAAAAGCTCTAGATATACGAAAAAATAACGCCTTTTTATTATTAAATAGATTAAAGCTTTAACTTATTAGGTTCATATATAAAAAATTGATAAGAATAATATGCAATAAATGTCTCAAAAATGTAAACAAAATGGGAGCACTGAGATAAAAAGAAAGGAAAATTGTTTATGTTTTGAGATTAAAAAATACAATTGTAAAATTTATTATATTAAAATTAAGTTAATATGAAATAAATATTGTCTTAAGATAAAATTAATAAAATATAGTCTAAACTTAGATTTAGAAAAATTCAAATTAACTTGTATATATTGTTTTATAAATAATTTTTTAAAAAAATCTATAAATAAAATGAAAAATATATATGAAATTTTATATTATATTAATCATACTAATAAAGTGGCAAAAAATAAAAAATTTGCTTATTTTATTAAATAATATATTTAAATTTGTTTTTAGTTTTACTTAAAGCACAAAATAATTAAAAAAAAAGAAAAAATAATTAATTAAAGAAAATATATATTGTAATATATTAATTAACATGTTTATTACTAATAATTAAATGCTTATATATAGAAAAATCATATTTCTCTATCACACAAATAAACTACTTGAGGATAGAGATGTAAAAATTTTCAAATGGATCTTAAAATAGTTTCTCTAAACTACTTATAACATCAATATTATAAATTCTTTAATTTTATTTAGTCATGAAAAAAATTATATTTTATATCTTATTATATATAAAATTATTATATAATTACTATAGCTATTTTAATATTATATAATATATAGAACATTATCAACTCTTTCTGCTGATCCTCTGACCACACGCAAAAAAGATGTTTGCAAAAAGTTTTAATAATTCTATGCTAATAAAGTCTTACTACTTTTCTTAAACCAACTCAAAGAGTTCTTTCAGAACTCTCTCGTCTTCTCTTCCTCTTGTCTACAATTTCCTTTGAACCAACTGAACTTTTGTGGCTTGCAAAGTTCAGCTTCCACCTTTACTACCTACAACAAGAAAGTTCCTAAAGGGAAAAGGACCAACAGTGAAGTACCTTTCTCCTCTAGTTATGGTGGTGATAATAGAGATTAAAAACCAGTTAAAGGACTTATTTTCCTATCCTTTGAATGGTGTTGTGGCCTCTCATAGCTACCTTTTTCACAGCTTTCTGGGAAATTTTGCCTACCCCAGCTTGACCCTGAAATTTCGGGTAGCATGGATCTCACCAACTCTAATTGGTTGACATGAAACATATTGGACAAGATTGATAAAC